ATGATTGTCTCCCACCATCCTCTCCACCAGAGGGCGTTTTCCACGTTGAATTTCCATTGAATGCGAAGTCCGCTCGAGTAGTCTTGAACTTCTGAACTGGAGCTCGCATGCGGAAGTGCGGCCGTTGTCTGATTATAGTATAGACGGTATTCCTCGCCTCGAAACAAATCGTCGTTATGCCATAAAAAAGTTTGTGGTCGACATGCTGGAGACTAGTTCCAAATGAATCGCTCGTGTTACTGCGCAGGGGAAAAGAGCAACGTAGGCTTTTGTTTGTGATGCCGCTCATATGTACGTTGGACCACAAAAGCCCACTCTGATAACTTCAAATGGGCCAGTTTTTATTATGGGTTCTCTTTGCAGCGGCGGCATTGGTGCGGTTGCAGACATTAGCATTCTTCGACGACAAAGGCAGGAGTTGATGGCCCGCTTGACATTTTGGCGTCCCTTGATAATCCAAAATCGTTCGCGTAATTCGGTAAGTGTACTCGAACACCCGCGTGCAGAAGTCGAGTGTGCGTATGCAAAATAAGCAGGTCAGTGTATCTACAGCGTCCCGGAAGCAAAATAGGATGCTTAAGGTCGTAGGATTCATGCAGCTGTTGCAAGCGGCCGCCAACGTGTATACCACCGTTAGGTGCAAGAAATGGGTGAAATCGGCTTACATTTTACGTGCAAGGCACTTGCTTTCCTTCGTTGAGAACTGCAACTTCGATTGGAAGTCTCTCATCTTGCACCCTTCGGATCCAATATGTTTCTGCTTGAGAAATGCCATCAGCTGTTAGTGGTCTGGCCTTAGAACCTTGATGCAATGATGTATTTGTCAGAAACCGTTGAATCCATGCAATTATTCGAATAACCCTCTTGATATTGCTGTAGTTGTGCAAATTCATCAACGACGAATTCGTCGGTGTGCCAGTGGCGTGTGGTACTGCCACAGGATTGACTAGGATGAACTTGTTTTGCTCAGGTATGTCTACTTCGCGTGCACTATTGGCAACTGGGAATCGCGTTGGCCAGTTTAGTAGGAAGTGCGAGCCATTTTGGACGGGCCCACCACGTGCTCGTGTGCAACAGAAAAGGGGATGATACTCCTCTTGTCAATAAATCTGCAGGATTGTCTTCGCTTCTGCAGTGGTCCCATGCACATTCCTTCGTGCGTTGCTGATTTTCGGTAACTCTGCTTCGAACGGAGGGCTGCCATTTAGTTGTGTCACGACAAATCCAATTCAATGCAACCTTGGAATCTGACCAGAAATATGACTGCAGAAGACCGTTTGTCTGCACTTACAAAAGAAGCAGCATTTGTTTGCTTAGTTTTGTAATTATCGCTTTTCGGTTCACAAGTTTCAATTGAAGGGCTTGGGTTGGTATGTCGGACAACCTGGATACATACGTAGAGGTGGATTCGAAGGTATCTACCACTACAGATGTGTTTAATTTACCGCAGAAAAAACCGCGTAAGACAAAGCTACAAACCTAATTTTCTCTAGTACGAATGTATCGAGGATTAGCGGAATATTTATGAGACAGAAGTGTTTGGTTCAACACTAGTTTATTTTAATACAAAGTCGTTGAAATTTCGAGCTGCCAATTCCAAAAAATCTTGGGTCCCAAAACCATTTCTCGGAAGTCTCAATGAAGCTCAGGTGCTTTTATGTACGTCAGTTCTGATAATGTTAATTTCGAAATTCTGAGGTGGTTTTTCTTCGTTTCACCCTGCATGCCTGATTATTCGCATGGACTTTGCAGTTCCCTTCCCGATTGTCGGGTTAAAGGTGTGCTGGTGGATGCAACGTACACTGTCTCTAGTAGTGATTTATTTTGCATAAAAATACAACTAAGATCCTTTTTAACTAGTGTAAATATCATAAGACTGTACCACACTTCCTTGTCGCTGAGGGCGTTTCAAGTTGTATCACACTTTTTTATCAGGAGGACGTCTCACGCTCTTCCACATTTTTTTTTTTGGTCCCTGAGGTTGTTTTGAAAGTTAGGACCTCAATTTCTGGTTTATATTTTATAATAATGGGCCAAGAAATTTCACCATTTAGAAAATATTATATCAGGTGACAACTCATTTTTTATAGAGCCAAATTTGATTTCTTATTCACATGTGATTAAAAAGTTAAAATAAATAGATTTTACATCTAAATTACAATAACATGTAATAGAATATGATCATAGTTTATAGTGACATGCATGCATCCTACCAAAAATGTTTAAACCGAATGTGTGGTTTTGCTTATTTATTTCTATATGCATCATAAGTAAAAGACCTATCCGATGCTTGCTTGAGACAGCTCTAGATTTGGCTAATAAACATAAGCGAGAGCAGGGGTGAAATTAATATTAATGTGTAAACATATGGAAGGGCACTTCCTGCATTTAGGTGGAGCGGCACCAAAATCAACAGTAATAAAATTTAACATTTTTTTTACACAAAGTATCGAACACTAGTAGACACTTTATTAACGACGCCAATGTATCTGTGTGTGAATGTTAATGAAAGTAAGTAATTATTGCGTTTTATGATTACTTTAGGACTTTAAAACGGTTGCAGTCACAATTGCCAATAGGGTGCCGCATGCGCAAATCTAGAATATTTATGAAAAAAAACATTCCGAGGACCACCTCAGGCATAGCCTCCTATATACTGACAAAGCCTGGCAGATCGCCACTAGAAGCGGACGCCGAAATGGAACAGCTGGAGCGGCAGACAACGGATGAGAGGATAGCCACCTGACTGGCGCCCCACTGCGGAGAGACGCCGAAACACACTTCTCCCGAACGAACAGGTGTGTTTCGGGTCCTCGCCGCTGCACAAGCTGTGCGCTGACGACCAGGTTCCCCGGGAAATGGCTCTTTGATGCTCGGCGTTACCAGACCCTCGCGCTCCTAATCTGCGAGCGGGCACTATATCACTCCGTCGTTGAACTGCCAGGCTTTGTGAGTATAGAGATTATTCATAAGCACGTCTTATGAGTTGTGAATTTGAAAGCATGAATGTCGTTCTTCCGGTCCCTTAGTTGGCCTGCGGCAGTGTTGTGCACGTTCCTTAAAAAAAGGAACGAAAAATCATTGCTCGTTCCTTCTGACTTTTGGAACGAGTTCCCGTTACAAGTTCCACACGTGAAAAAGGAACTCGTTCCCGTTACAAAAATGGAACGTATCGTTACATGTACGTTACATTTGTATTTTGCTGATTACCATATTTAATCAAATCAAGGAGGTTTTATTTGTATTAATCTTATTAAATGTCAACATAGGAATTTGCATGTCGTGATGGAAGGGCACCAGGAGAAGAAAACAAGGGGAAGCAGGGTTTCATTTGTTGATATATTCACCTTTACAAATATCAGCTTTTAGCCATATACATGTTTTGTGGTGGTGATTCAAACGAGCCAAATGTACTGTTACTCTACATCGCACGAGATTTTTACGTCAACCTCACACGTTTCAATCTAACAAAGTTCCTTGTTCGAACGTAATAATAGTTGCTTCTCAATGATGCTGTCCCCAAGACGAGCAAGCGAAAAAGAATTCAGGGCTTTTGGAACATCAGCCTTGAAAACTGCAAGTCAAGTCCTTTTTGTGAAGGTTGGATTCGTTGTTGAATTTGAAGGCGGGGGACAAGGGGAGAATAAATAAAGGTTAATTTTTGCGTATCTCTTAAGTGACCAATGTTCGGGACACAAGGGTGTTCTGGTAACCTGTTCTTTTGTTGTAATTGTAGGTCTCTTCATGGAATTTCAGTGATGGCTGTAGTCGGCCTTAGATTTATGAGTGTATGAGGATTCGTGAAAGCAAAGAAAGTAGCTGAGTTGGAAACGTCCCTCTTTCTGTGTCTTTTTCTTCGACTAAAAGTTTTGCTTCTTCTAGCACAGTCTCGGGCACTGAAAAACGAATCGATGCTCACTAGCTCCCCTGCGGCCGACTGTTACCAAGTGAGCACCACACAAAATAAACCCTAAGATAAGTAACCAGAAGGTAACGAGATCCTACTCTTCGTAAATATATTGTCTTTATACTTTTTTAGAATTCCCCTCTTAGAAATAAAATAAAAATTACAAAATTCGCCAAAATTTACTTTCGCCAAAATTGATTTTTTTTTCGCCAAAATTGGCGAAAAACGAAAAAAAGGAACGCCGTTCCTTTTTTCGTTCCTGTAAAAATGTAACGCGTTCCCGTTCCAGTTCCACCGATGCAAAATGGAACGGTGGCGTTCCTTCGTTCCTCCTAAAAGGAACGCGTTCCAGGAACGCCGTTCCGTACAACACTGGTATGCGGTGTGCTGGCGAGGACTGCCACGTTTCGCTACCGCCGAGGTTGCGGCCGCCGACGTGCCGCCATGTTCCTCGGGGACAAGAGGACCAGAGGCGGCCGCAGAGCCCTCCCCCCCCCCCCCCCCCCCTACCCCCCATCCGGCAGCGCCTGACACGAGAGCGGCGGCCTAGCGCGCCATCCCGTGAAGCAAGGTCAAATCCCCCCCCCCCCCCCCCCCCTTCCCCTCCCTCCAATGGGAGAGTGAGCATTTCTTTCGTTTCTTTCGCGGTTACAGACGCCGCCCGTTCCGTTCCAAGGGATAGTTAATGCGTTTGCATTAAAAATATCGAACTTTCTAAAAAGTCGATTTTCTAAATTCGGAACTTGTCCGATGAAATCGTGTTGTATTTCTTTTCATAAATATTATTAAAAAATACGAGCGGAAAATCAAGAGAAAGCACAATGTTCCCAAGTCAAATTTCCGGTGGGACTCAAAATTTTTGCTGTTTCGGTTTCCTGTTTGCCTAGTGTTTTTGAAATAAGCGAAATTGCAATCTCCGCTATCACGCGGCTTCATTTTAATTACATTGTAGAACCCGATTGTTGTTCGTGCTTGAAAATAAATCATAATAAAAATTGCCCACGTGCGAAGGTTAAATGTTATAGAGGTGGACATACTGAAGGTTTCTCTCCCGGTTACAATATAAACCCCAGCGCAATGCGCTCTCGCAATCAAACCAGTCTTACAAAGTTAAATTGCAAGTCTTGAAGTCAACTTATATCATGGGACTCACATGGTCTGCCGTAACCCTACTGTTATGCTTGACGTTTTGCAGTGGAAGTCAGTCATGGCCAGAGCTCAATCCTGACCTTCAGCAGTACCAGGACTTAACAAAGGTCAGTATAAGTAGATTGCAGTGCAACAGTGATAAAAGTATGGGATCATATTGGAGTGTATTTTCACATATTTTCTGAGACATTTGCAGTATTAATAATAATTAAAAACAGGCTAAAGAGATTATTAAAACAAAAAAAAAACTTGTAGACGTAACTTCTATCGTATTTTTTCAGTGAATTTGAATATTGCAAGCATTTCACCTGAGCATAAATATAGACGCGAAAACAAGAACAGGAAAAAAACACTGGTTGGGACTTTATACAAGTGTTGGCGGTAACACGTTACGAGCAACGACGTTGCAGGTAACGCGTTATTTTTTTTTTCGGTAACGTTGTAACTTACTCGTTACCTTTTCAAAACTGTAACGGGTAACGTACGCACGTCACTTATTCTGAATAACGTAGTTACGTTACTCGTTACATATTCTTCCAAACACTTAAAGGAATTACACTTTCACTTCTTTCGCGTTTCTAAACGGCAAGCCATAAAAAGTTTGCGTTTTTTTCTTCGTTTTTTTGGCGTTTTTGTGTAAGTATTTAGGCGGAAAGTTAAAAAAAAAAAGATAAGGTAACTAACTATACTCAGCTTCTGGATGGACATTATGTTTCATAAAATATGGTGCTTATACGTATCTGTAACGCCAAACAGTAAAACGAGTGAACTCATAATTAAAAAAAGGTAACGCAAGCATAGCGTGCAGCTCCTTATCACGGGCAGCTCCCTATCTAGTGTGTGTCGGCATCATGAAAACTAGCCCCATAAGGTGCGAGGACCGGGCGTTCGGGTTGAGAATGAACAGGCACTTTTGAGAGCAAGAAACTATACTTCGTTTCAGCTTAGGTCCGAGCGCGGCCTAAGTTATGAGCCGAAGGGCCAATCATATAACGCAAAAAGCGCAGCGTCATGGCGTGTTCTTTGCGCTTTATAGGACTAGCCGGTAGGGCAGCACGCACTGAGAAATGGCGAGTACCGACTGGTCCAACGAGCTTGAGTCTTACCTTAGAGCGGTAAACCGGAACCCAGTGCCTGCAACGAAAATGGCACCCCCCCCCCCCCCCCCCGGTTGCCGCCATCTTGCCTGTTTGCCACATTAGTGATCACGTGACGTGAAGATGGCAGCGCCCAAAGGTGGGCCAGATCAGACTGGACAGATCACGGTCAGGGGCTGCATTCAGTCTGGGGCTGCGTTCCAATCTTACTTGAATGGAGCCGAGTTCGTCCGGCGGATCACGTCACGTGACAAGACAGATACAGCAATTCTGGACGCGGGTGGGTTTTCGAACTCAACGGGTACGAGAACTTCACCCTCCTTGCAGGAGTGAGATAGAAGCTGCGTTCGATTTACTTGCACCTCCTGCACCGGTGCAGAGAAGTGTGGGGCGGTGTACTTCCGGTCGTATCTCAATACCTATACCGGAAGTAGACTGCCCTACACTTTTCTGCACCGTCGCAGGAGGTGCAAGTAAGGCCGTGTTCCAAACTTTACTCGATCTTACTCCAGGGTAAGGGTTTTGTACCCTTGGCGTTCTAAAACCTACCCGCGTCCAGCGTTTTTCAATCTGTGGTGTCACGTGACACGATCCGCCGGAGTAACTCGGATCTATTTGGGTAAGATTTGAAACACAGCCTAAATGGAACGTAGCTTCGATCTCACTCCTGGGTGAAGTTCTCGTACACGTTGCGTTCGAAAACCTACTCGCGTCCAGCGTTGCTGCATCTGTCTCGTCACGTGACTTGATCAGCCGGATTAACTCGGCACCATTCGAGTAAGATTCGAACGCAGCCCCAGAGTGCCCATCTGACCGCGATCTGGCCAATCTGATCTGGCCCACCTCTGGGCGCAACCATCTTAACGTCACGTGATCACTAATGTGGCAAACAGGCAAGATGGCGGCAACCGGGGGGGGGGGGGGTGCTATTTTTGACCGCTGGTTTACCGCTCTAAGTTTACTCAAGCTCGTTGGGCTGGTCCTATCAACTGCAGAAAGCACGCCATGACGTTGTGCCTCTTTCGCTGTTTGATTGGCCTTTCGGCTCATAACATCGGCCGCGCTCGGACCGAAGCTGAAACGAAGTATAGGACCAAATGATAAAAGTGAACGCCCCGGGTAGGAACAAACGCGAATCTTCTAAAATTCCGTGACCGAGCGCTGCTTGTTCGGCCCTGTGCGCGTCAATATGTTAAGTTGTGAAGTATTATTAAACTTTTTTTTTTTTTAAAGTAAGACATGTATATATACTGGTCGTCGTTTCTTTCTAGATTATAAATGTTTGAATGCTTTCGTTAAGTTTAAAGTTCACAAAGTTGCTTCACCTTATTTCCGATCCAGTGCTTCCCTCTTCCGGAGAGTTGGCACACAATCTACAGGAATTATGAGTCTGACCCAGTCTTCGGTGGAACAAGCAAGTGCGTCAAGTACTCGGAAGACGGACCACCCGTAAATGGTGCCTATCCTCTTCGTTTCGATTTCGGAAGCCAGTCTGCGTAAGTAAAACCTATTACTACGATATGTTTCCTATGAATACGCAGCAGGATTGTTACAGCCATCACATCTTATCTTGTGAAGCTGCACAAGCTAAAAAAAAAGTGAATCAGGCACGCAGGAACAGTCTCAATGTAATTTTTAGGTTGCGTAAAAACATGGCACATTTTGAAGAGGGCCCATATCTGGTAGTCCTTGCTTTAGCACTTGGTTACTGTGGATGTTTTTTTCGTAAATTGAAGTTGGCACCTAACTCTCCGGTCGCATAAAGTAGCAGGGGTTGATTCATTCAAGATGCTATCATATTTAAAACAAAAACGAATAGTTTGACGATGGTGACATTTGAGGCACATTTAGATATAACATTGAAAGATGCCAAGCATAAAAACTAAGAATAATTGACTTAATTTAGAAACATAATTGAAGCCGAATACCTCCAGTTACAATTTAGTAATAACGGAACTACAGTAATAGGGGAGTGGACTTATACTTTCAAAACAATAATATTGAAGGTGAGTAAAAGCAATTGAAATATCTGTTTAATTCATAAATAAAAAAATTGCAGCAACTATGTATCCAACGTTTTATGGTACACGCAGGGAAGCATTTGAGGAGCACCCGTTTATAATTGTATAGAAGACATTGAGGAGGTCTTCTACATCTTAATGTCTAATTTTCTTTCGCCTTTTTAAAATAGTTTATATAACACAATCATAGGAATGTCCTTGAGGGTAATGAACTTGAATTCATCTTTTCGTCTGGAAATTGAATTGGTGTAAGGGTGACGTGATTTTAACTTACCCGCTAGATCTAGCGGCAAAATTAAATTAGTTTATACGCCTCGCAAGTGGGCTCATTTTCGTCTTCTGCGCATGAGAAAGGAAGTAGCGGTGACGTCAGAACGCCGAGCCCTGATTGGCTGATCGCGACCCCCTATCTCAACGTCGTCTGCTCCTTTGCAACGTCGTCTACTCGCCACGTCGTCTGCTCGCAACGTCGTCTGCGTCTGTCTTACCTTTTTAGCGACTTTCGGGAGTGCAGGTCTTTACAAGCGAGCTCGACTTCGCCTTTCAGAGGGGGCAGACGAAATAACTCGAGCGGTACATTGTTTTTGTCTAACTAGCAGACGCGCATCAAGGAGGGAAGTCAAAGGACTCACTGGCGAGTTTTGTTTGCTAAGAACCGAGAGTGAGCGTGTTAGTGTCCGCAAGGTCCCTCCCAAATACTTTTTCCCTCCTTTCGTGTGTGGCGAGACTCCTCACTCTTTAACGGCGTCGGCGGGTTGGCGCAGTTAACGTCGTCTGCTTTACGTCTGCTAGTCAAAGCGATGGCTGCTTCACCTTTCCTGCGTCTGTCGGAGATTCACCGCTTTTCCACCGGCGAGAGTCACCGTTGCCTCGGGAAACAAGGAGATAACAAGAGGAAGAAATTGACCTCTTAATATAAAATTGAGGTCAGCGAACAAAGTATAATACGGGAAGGGTTCACAAGGATCGCGCGGGCATATTCCATTCAGCACGCCAGCCGGTCGTGGGCAGACGGTCGCCGAGTCGCGGAGTGCCTGCTAGGCCTAATCCGAGCTGGCTTGGTCGCGTTCGGTGGAATCGTGGCCGTTGGCTTTTCCCGGGTGTTTGTGGATCCAGCGTTCTTGTCCGTCGTGGTCTGTTTCAAGTACTTATTACTTTTTTCTTGCTGCTTGAAGTCGGGACGCGTAAGAAGCGCACGTAGAAAAATAAACGTCCGTGGGTCGTCGCGACCGCGACGCTGTCGGCCATGCTGATTTGATCGCAAGAAGTGCGTAAGACAACTTCGGAGCTGTCGTAGGATTTCGTCGTAACCTGCGCAAAACTTACGAAAATCTCGTTTCGTGAATAAGAATTTGTTCTTAAACTGTGTCTTACGCGCATTTTTGGCGTAAGATCGTTTCGTGAATCTGGCCTCTGCACTTCCGAAAGTCGCAGGAACGGTGACACAGACGCAGACCACGTTCGAGCAGACGACGTTGCCAAGGAGCAGACGACGCTCAGAAAGGGGGTCGCGATCAGCCAATCAGGGCTCGGCGTTCTAACGTCACCGCTACCCCCTGCGCAAGAAGCAGACGAACTTGCCCTCCGCATAGTTCACGTGACGCCAAGTCAAGCGACATCGATTTCCCCGAGAAATTTAAAGGGGATACTAAATTGGTGTTTAAGCCTCGTGACAGGTTTCGGGTTATCAAATGTTTACTAAGTTTAGCGAGAAAAGTGAATTCTTGTTTAGGTGGCGTAACGTCAATTTCCCCTGCTAAATCTAGCAGGAAATGGATGGACACATGCACGAAAAGTCAAACGGACGGACAAACAAAGTTTTGGAATTCGGGGTTGTGGGGGGCTCTATTACAAACCATTTCATGCTTTCAGAATTCTAACAAGTGAAGTTATATATTTTTTTTTACATGGAGGCCTTTTACAATACTTGTGGTTTTTTTAATGCACCCCATCGAACACTAACCTCAAGTAATTCTACCGCTAATTATGAAAGGTGTATTTAAACTTTGCGACTGTTAAAACAAAATCGGGGAATCCATATTAATGAGGTATTTGCAGGGGAGTTAGCACAGCGGGACATAATAGGGAGTTAATCGTTTCAATAAGTCGGTTATTACCTAATATACGTTGGTTACGTTTTCAGTTATTAAATGAAAATCACAGGTTTCCTATTAGAAGCTCGTTGGGCGTCATCGAAAACCCAAAATATGTTAGTTTTGGAGAGACTTGGAACACGTGCGAAGCGCGGTGGTATTTTAATGTTACCACTCAAGCAGCATGCGAAAGACTGGTAAAGTGAAAAGACGCCGGTGCGGTTTTTCCGTCTCTTATCTGCATCTTCGCCCCGCCAGCCTTGCGCCTATTCCAGGAGTGGTAACTTTAGCGAACTATTGCGCTCCTCACGCGCTCAATGCTTTTCTAAAATTTACTGATATAATGGATTTCAATGACGCTCAGCTAGCTTTATTTTTGTTTGAAAACGCCAATTTGTTTTCTCTAATTAAAGTTTATTAACATATTTTTTTAATTATCCAACAGATCCTGACAATTATCCTCTACATTGCCTCACCCAGGCCGTATGATTGAGGATATAAACTGTGTTAGTGAACGTTTCCCGAATGTTTTCAAACTTTTAACTCATAAAAAACACCCTATATACTCAGTACTGGAGTTCTAAACGTAGTGTTTTTATGTTCCACTATACCTGCGCGTATTGGTTTACAGGAAACAGAGTCCCTAAGCTTTGTCATTTTATAGGCTCCTTGTTTTCGAATCTTCTACTTCTTCTTCAAGGTGCCGCACTAGAAAACTTAGTAGGACATTGCCTGGGACGCAGTGTGGCTCAGTAAACGATATAAAAAAGAAGCTTTGACATTAAAACGTCTAACAGGAAGGGGTGCATGTACGGAAACTTGTGCAGCAAGGAAAATGTGTAACGGAAAGTGCATAGCGCAAACTTACAACAAACGATATTGTAAACTATGTATAAAAAAACACTTGACAAAAGGAGGACACTGGTGTGTTCCCACTAAATTAAAGGGTTCCTGTTTCTAGATCACACTATCCGATGTTAGACAAAGTCAAGCACCGTAAAAGGAGTCGGATGTCCGCGTGCGACTTCACAAATGTCCGCGTCTATGCACCACTGTTCCCGAGCTGCCCGAATGCACGGGACCTTCCCCTCTAGATTATTATATTAACTCTATGGTCGGCGCTCGGGGAGGCGGTCTTCCTTCGCAGTGCCGTGAATTGTAAGCCGATCCAGGAGGCAGTACTACCCCCTTCGGTCGGCTCGAGGGGAGGCGTGGGACCACATCGCCACTGAAACGCTACGATATATTTCCTATTTCTCCTACCATCGTCCTACAATCAGTCGGATGTGTCCATCGATGAGTTTAGTCTTAAAATACCAAATGCAACTCGCGTTTCGACCTGCACTTGTTTTCGACTGCCTGTGTGACTTTTGATTGAATACGCCCGCGTTCTTTCTTGACGTGTGTCTCGTTCGGTGTCTTGCGTATCATCAGGTGACAAGTAATATAAGCTTACCTCATATTTAAATATTTGATATGTTCCAGCGATCGCGCGACTAGCAAAAAAATTTGTTCGCTTTTATAGTTGTGTTTAATTCCGTTAAATAGTTTCCATCAAAATGAAATATTTACATTCGATCCTTGAGTTTCATTTCACTAGACTCGGCACGCAGACGTTGTCAAACCAAAAACATGCGGCCGTGTCGTACACACAGCCCACAGCTTGCTTTAATAAAGTTTGTGGGATTTCCCTTGCTGCTACCCGTCTCGGAGAATGACACAGCACACCGGTTCAACAACTCATAAACATTTAATGGCCGCTATCGCCTTCGCCGCGATCCCAGCAGCCCCCGCGCATCCGCTGCGACGGCCTTTTATCAGCGGCGGAGCGCCGCTCGCGTGGCCAGTTGCCCTTGTCCCCCTCGTGGTCAAGATGACCACTCATGATTGTCGGAGGGGCAGCCTGGGCCAACCGCTTGGAATCGCCATGTTGCCCAGAAGTTGGATCAAATACATTAGCTCTAGAAACTCAAGCAAAGCATACATTTTTCTTCGAAGTATATCGTTTTTATACATAATAGTTTCTTCTCACATTTTTCACCCAGTACGGCAAGCGCGACCCTTGAGTCGGCTCCTGGATATACGGGCAAAAACTTACTGAGCCTTACTCCTGCAGGTGGTAAGTGTTACTGAAATGTCCCCATCTCGAATTTCTTCGAATTATTTTAAATTCGTTTTTTTTCGTAATTGAGCCAATCTAAAGTTAGATAAGTTGGTTACTTAACTTTTTAACACAGCGCGGATAACAAATTATGAATTCACTCGCGGATAGCTCTGGAGCTTACCGAAATGTCTAGTGTATGAAGTAATAAGGCACCAGTTGTTTCTAAAACTGTGTACACTATCTAACTCTTGACGAATTTTGAGTGTAATGTTTTTTTAATTATCTATTGATATAAAACAGCAATATACCAGAAATCTGTCACTAAACTGACGCAATGTTTGCTTACATATTTGCAGGAAGTTCAACACTGAAGGTATACGCCGCATATGTGGAGTGCGAGCAGTGCGCCGTTCTTAGGAACACCTACGTCAGCGGTAAGAACCGTTTCATAACGAAGAGTATAATTTGAGTGTTTCAAGTCCCAACAGTCAATATAGGGACACGAACTCTCAACAGTTGCAGTTCTTTTTTTTCAAATTTGTGATTTTGTGTTAGCTTTTATGTTCGTTTCTCTAAGGTATTACCCCATGTCTTTTCGATTTTAGTGGGGGTTTAAAAATTGTATAATCCCTAGGCACAGCCTCCGCTAACAGTAAAGAACACTGCCCTAAAACAAGTGAAAGCTTTGAAGATAAAAGATATACCTTTGTGTGCTATTTCCAACTCCCAATCTCCTAATGAGTGACATACGGGTAACGAGTTTCACAGATGCTAGCTTGAACCTCCTCATTCCCGTATTTTTGCTCCTACATACTTCAGATTACGTCACCCTTCTAAGACAGGACTATAGGCCGCAAATTCATTTCTTCTTGTGTTTGGTCCTATCCTGTCGTAAATAAAAGCCCGGGACACATATCTGGCAGAGTACTCTTTTTTTCCAGAGGCATTAGGTTGTATGTGCTGATAATGTATGTACAGATGAAAGCAATTATCTAAGCTACTTGAATCTTGCAGATACGGCGTGTGCTCTACTTGTGCCTGAGTCTGAGTTGAACAAGAACACCACCTGCTGTGATTTTATTTTTGACCTGCTTTGTGGTACAACGCAGAAGTACTACATCTACGATGCAAGTTGCTAGCTGTGCAAGCTAAGCTTGCTACTCTCGCCTTACGAGAATGTAGTGAAACCGTTACTGGGAAGTTAAAGACCTCGTGGTGGTAGTGTGGGAATAAAATGTTTGTTTCATTTCAGTATATGACTGAATAAATCTAAGTGCCTTTTTTATCCGCAGTAACATTGTCACGGAAAAAGCGTATATCTCATTGGTTGGTTATGTAAAGGTGGATAATATGAATTATGGGAAACAAGGAGTGCGCCTCCAAGTAGATCTTAAAATATTAAGATAGGTTTTCATTGGTATGTTATACCAATTGAAAACTAAAAACTTTTAAAACACGGCTACAAAAGCGATCGTGCCGCATAAAAAAATTTACGCAACTCTTACGTCACTGTATCCTGGAAAAATAACTCTAAGCTTTTCGTTTGGCTGCCATATTTTTTCATATAATGAAGAGTTTCTCCTGGACCTCTTTATTTATTGTTAGCCTACCTGAATTCGCTGGTGGCAGGATGCTTTCAAAAAGTTGTTTTATATACCAAGAGTTTTCTATCCACACACCTGTGAAACAAGCGTACATCGTACCGCCACCACATGCAGTTTTGGTGCTTGGAGGCATAGAAAAATAATTTTCCTGTCGAAGTACGCAACAATATCAGTGTAAGATATCTGTGGAGATAAGCACAGTTTATAAGTTTATTGCATTCCCATTACCAAGAACCAAAGAGAGAATAAAAACACTTAGGAACAAGGACAGACGGCACAGTTCTTTCAAAAAGAACTGCGCTGTCTGTCCCTGTCTCTAAGTGTTTTTATTCTTTCTTTGATTCTTGTATATTCACCAACACGCTCTTTGTTCTTTGTCACTTCACCAAATACGCTTATATTTACAATGAACGCTTTCAATATAATAATGCTCCATAGCGATCTTGGAGCGACTGGCTCGGAATGACCCTTTCGAAGCTGCGAAGGTTTCAGTGAACCTGAATGGCGGTTGGCATAGTAACTAAAACCTATCAGCCCATCATATCGCTAGGTTTGGTCCTTTGTATGTTAGTATCTGCGTCCGGCTAGTAGCCAGGAAAGCAATGGCGGTACTTTACTATGATCCAGTGATTTTAAGCAAACCGGAAGAAACTAGAGGTGCGTAAATTTTAATGTTTATGAAGATAGAAGCCCCTTATGAAGTTTATATTTTGTACAAGGTGTTGTTGTGTCAAACAATCAGAGTGTAAGTAAAACGTCTTCACATTGGTGTAAGCTTGTCTTCATTCTGGATTCGCCGGTTTTATGGCATGTATTCGGTCCGTCACTGAAAAACTACGGTAAGGTTTTCCCTCTTTTTTTCTTTTGCCCAGCAATTTCTTCGGGAGAACATAACAAAAAAAAATTGCAATTGCAATTCATTATACCTCTGGTTTTATTTTTTTTACACACATTTCATGTAGTATGTAATTCAGACGTCACGGTGTCCTTCAGAAAGTATATTGTCAGGAGAGAATCAATTTTGCGAAAGCTTTTTTCGCTTATATATGCATGCGTCTGATTGGAGCACGCAAATGCTATACGAGGCTAAATGAGATGTCACATTAGTACTTTATTCCTCACAACTTCACGTACGTTTACACGTGGTATGAAATAAGGTTTTGCATATTAAAAAAATGAACTGTGATAGTTAATCAAAATTTGTTTTTGCACCTGATTTGCGATTCATGGCGAACACTACATGCAAGGATAATCGCAGTGGTCCATCTCTTAACTAAATTAAACTCACCAATAAACGTCACATTTATGCGGTTAGAGGCGTGCTAGGGTAATCGAAACATATAGCTTCACATTTTTGTATCTCTTAATAAAAAATATGGTAGTAATTTGAAAATGTACAGGCTGGAGTACTGATGTTTTCCTTACACATGTGTGCAATTTTATGCTAATCGCTTAAAGGTGACCGCTGTAGTAACGCGCGACAATCGTCACTAACGACGAGTTGTTATAAACTTTCAGTTAAAATAAAATATCAGTAGAACAACGTGAGAACCGTTTCTTCGCTGTTTAAGAAATTCGTACATGAGATATGAGCATCGTTGAATGTTTGCTTCAAACTTTTAGGTTTTACAGCGACTTGGGCTCTTTATCAGCATCGCTAATAAAGAGCCCAAGTCTCTTTATCAGCACCGTGGAAGTGAAAGAAAAGGAGGTCATAGCACACTCTTAGCTGAGATAAGTCCTGACTCTATATGATAACAGGGGATCAGGACGCTTTTGCAAAAACTGAAAAACGTACACATGGCCGTTTTCCGTTTGGACATCGACTGTACATATCAATGGGGAGCGTGTGTGCATTTCCTTATTTTAAGAATTTGTGACACATTTATATTGTAGCCTTCACTCTAGAGCGGAAACCCGTGAATTTGTTTTGCAATTGGAAAGACATTTGATAAAGTGTAGCATCACAAACTTCTTAAATTACGCACTTTCTAAATAGAACCTTCCGCAAGAAAGGATTTAAATTTGTCTCTTCAACCGCAGACGTAGTAGTCACAATGACCAAAAATGCTCACCTCACGACAACGTGAAGTTAGTTTTACCGCAATGACAGTGCTGGGCCCTCTAATTTTTGTTTTTATGTCCATGGCTTGCCAACTAGTTTCCAGACAACCGTTCCTTTGTATCCTGACTGTGTAGTAAATAGAAATATAATCAGTATTTCTTATTGGACTAAACTTCAAAATAATTTGTCTTTAAAAAAAATTGGTGCAAAAAATGGGAGGTACAGATAAATATGCTTAAGGATACTTACATATACACACGTATAAATATTTCTGGGTTTATTTCACATGAAACATTCCTTGCGAAATATATGTCAATCACATGACCGTTAAGGCTTTCCAAAGTCTCAGCGTCTTAAGAAGAACACTGCACATGGCCAATTGGGAAAAAAAATTTCGCCCACACCAGCCTGGTTCATCATCAGCTAGAGTATGCATAAATAATATAGAACACTGATCTCTCTCAATCTTTGTAATCTGCAGAACTAATAAAACTCTAATCTGTCTCACTTAATTAAAAAAAATTAAATTAGCTCAAAAGAATGACACACATCTCATTCTCAAATATTGTATGTGCACAAAAATCACATAACTCATAACGATCTCGATATCGCTCTTCTCGCGGAGAGAAGGGACAAATACAGAATTGACTCACTACACACCTTGTAGTAGTATTGACCGTAAAAGATAGGTTTTTATTATCAACATAATCCACGCACTGCCAATTCTCATAAACTTCACTTGGCCGCACCAAAAACAAACCTTCACACATTTTCACCTCTTCAATTATTTATTGTTGAATGGAATTCTCATCTAGATAACATATTAAAAATGCTCAGGATTCATCTATCTTGAGAGCTAGGCCTGCAACTTTATTAGACAGATAACAACATGTTATTTGTTTTTCTTATGTTGTTTTGTTTACTGCTTGAAATTTGTTGTATTTTTTTTTGCATCCACTTATTTAAAGCCCAATGGGCGCTTTGACTGCATATTTAAATAAAATGCAATCATTTGAGCCTCAGACAGAAGAGAAACAAGTCACCATAATCAGCCGCGGTTCAGGCGTCCTGCCACCGCCAAAAACCTACGCCTAACGAAAAAAAAAAAAAAGGCTGGAGCAATTACACCCATTGTCACATATACGACACCCCAAAATTTCAGTTCCACGTACAACAAACTTACGTCGAACTGACTGCCCCAGCTTTTGCGACAGGGTTCATGATGGTTCGATAGAACATATTAAACAATATGTATCAAAGTCTTTGAGTATGTACAAAGTACATATATACAAAGTATACATACAAGGTATGTGTCAAAGACTGCAGAAAAAAACAGAGGATTTTGCAGTAGGGCAAAGAAAACCCCGATATAATTTTTTGCAGTCAGTCAAATTTAAATTAGCCAATTTAATAAGTTGTACAACTCGGCTATCTAGCCGCTCGTGAAATTCGGAAGCGTCGGTTCAACGTCGGTGCACTGTACGTCCAATTGAAGTTTTGAGGTTTCATATATGTGACAAGGGGTGTTCCCTCCAAACAGTATGTACCACCAACTAGCCCAACTACATGCCTTGCTGGGGTGTAAAAATATAACCTTTTTTTAGTGTGTAGAAAGGTTGCAACACGCCGATGGCACCATTCGCGCGGATCCTCACAACTCAATGAATTGCCCTACAACTTTTAGTGAGGAGGTGCAATGCCAATTATCGACCTTACCGGCGTGTGCGGCCGAACAAATATTGAGGAGGCAAAACCTTCCCTCACACAAATGTGAAAACCCAGGAGATGTTTTACTCCTGTACGTCCTGATCTCCCCTAAAGTCTTGATTTGACACAGAGGCATATTTATATCTTCGGGCCACTAAAAAAATGGTGAGAAAAAGACTAAGTTTGAAGATGGAGTTAAACATCACGATGAGCAATGAGTGTCTCTCAATACGTCCTAGATTGTAGTTTGCATAATTTTTTGACTAAAATTTAAAGAAAGTCGCACACACAATAAAAACAGCAGCAGATATATTTTTCACTATAATTAAAACCGGATGGTCCACGTAAAGGCGTTAAAATCTCTAGAGCCTCACTCCACCCAATTGTATTATTATCTCTAGATGTTTAATTCCACAAAAATCGGCGGGCGTTTTCTATTATGTTAATCTCCTTGGATATACATTGCATTTTTGGTGTTTACATATCTATGAGGTGATGACGTACTAAGGTTTTTCAAAAATTCAATTGTAAATTAAGCACCTTAGCACTATAATAGCTAGTTACACAATGTTACGTATCATATAAGCAACAATATGTAATCTACTGTAAGCAACAATAAGTAACGTATGCCCAGCATGTGTTACCAATGCTGGTTTATCTTCCTGATGTTGCTATGACGCAGGTTGCTTCCCACAACTGTTGATATTTTTTTATAAACAATCTGAACTTCAAAATATTTTTCTCGGCATTTACCACCGACTAA